AAAGAACATTTACAGAAATCAGATTGGTGACTATCCTAACTGTCATCGTAGAATCTTCATCCAGTGGTTGAGGGAAGCAGATACAGAGTTCCACAGCCAAAAACTGGGCTGAGCTCCAGGAGTCCAGTTGAAGAAAGGGAGGAGGGATTACATGAGTATGTGTGTGTGGGGGGTGTTAAGATCATGATAGGAAAACCCACAGAGACAGCTGACCTGAGATAATGGGAGCTCACGGGCTCTGGACCGACAGCTAGGGAGCAAGCATGGGACCAACCTAGACCCTCCACATCTGGGTGACAGTTCTATAGCTTGGTCTTTTGTATGACCTGTAATTGGAGGTTTCTCTCCCACCTGCCAGTTCTGAAATAACCACTCAGAGGCTTAATATTACTTATAAATGCTTGGCCAATGGCTCAGGCTTATTACTAGCTAGCTCTTACAACTTAAATTAACCCATTTCTATTAATCTAGATGTTGCCATGTGACTATGGCATTATCAGTCTGCTGGCATGATGCTTCTTGGTTGGCTCTCGTATCTCTCTGATTCTCCCCTTCTCCGGAATCTCTTCTTGGATTTCCTACCTGCAGTATCCTGCTTTGCTATAGGCCAAAGCAGCTTTATTTATCACCCAATGAGGGCAACACATATTCACAGCACACAGAAAGACATTCCACATCAGGAGCCCCTGGCAGTGGGAAGATAACCTGTCCCTGATGCATGAGCTGACTCTTTGGAGCTTATTATTTCCTATGGTGAGATGCCTTGTTGCAGGGGAGGGGAGAGGAGCTTGGTCCTGCCTCAACTTGATATGTCATGCGTTGTTGACTTCCATGAGAGGCCTTACCCCTTCAGAATGGATCTGGGGGAGTCCACTGGGGAGGAGGGTAAAAAGAAGGTGGGGGGAGGGAACAGGAAGTGAGGAGGAGGGGAAACGGTGGTTGGTATGTAAAATAAATAAATTTAAAAGATGACAGTGCAAAGTAGCAGTGCAAAGAATTGGCACCTACAATAATATCACAGAGGCAGAGTGTGGCAGTAGCTGGACTTGGGGAGCCCCCTGCAGAAAGAACCACAGGGTTATTCAGGTGGACTTTCCATGTCAGCTACAAGCATCTCATTTTCTTGAGGACTCAAGAGACTTTCAGTCTTATTGGAGGAGGTGGTAGCTGCCCAGTACCAAGGCTGCTCTTTAGGCTACTCAACATGGTCCACATGGGGAAAAATACAAGGCATCACTAAAGGACAAAACTGGCCATCTAAAACATGACTAGAAACTTGAAATATCTGAGGATGCAAGGTGAGAGCATGTGTGAGTGATGCTTTAGAAGCTTTCACTATAGGATTCGATGACTATTTGAATGATAGAGGTAAGATGAAACAGGATACCTTGTTTGATTCATGGAACAGGAATTTCCCAAGAGACTATTGCAAGAAGAGTATAGAAGATGATAACAATACACCACGGAACTCACGGGAAATGCTGTGACCATGGCTTTGGCTAATGGCAGAATGCAGCTTTATAACCCAATGTAATTTTTTTCTGAGAGATCTGGCTACCATGGCATTGTCTGCATCTCCTCTGTGCTGAACAAGGTTCTTGTTAGTTTAATTTCTGAGGAAAACACCATCTATTTCCAGGGATACATGGATCACCTCTTTTTCCTTGTGTGGCCCATTATTTTCTGAGCTGCTGCTGCTGCCAGTCATGTCCTACACAATTTGGTCATCTGCTTTCCTCTGCGCTACAGCTCTAGGATAAAGGACACTTATGTGGGGAATTGGCTATGGCATGTGCTCCATCTGTGCCCTACATTATTTCATTAATGCTGCTCTGATGACATGGATGACATGGCTATCATTCTCTGGATCCAAGGACACCCACTTCGATGACACTTCCCAGTTCCTACTCCTCTCAAGCAGCACCTCAAGTGTGGAAAGCACCATGACTCTTATGGCTGATGACTTTTCCAGGGGTATCAGCCTCCTGCCTCCTTGCTGTCTCATGGCTGTATCAGTACTGGCATCTAGCACATGTGCTCAGCTGAGGGAAGCAGAAGGTCTTGTTCACCTACTCATCCCATCTGTCTTAGTTAATTTTTCTATTGCTCTGAAGAGACACCATGAACATTGCAACTCGTATAATGAAACATTTAATTGGGGTGGCTTGCTTACAGTTTCAGAGGTTGAATTCTTTATCATCAGGGTGGGGAGCCTGCAGATATGATGCTGGCTACATCTTGATCAGAAGGCAACAGGAAGTTGACTGGAACACTGGCAAGTATCCTGAGCATAGAAAACCTCAAAGCCAATTCTCACAGTTACACACTTCCTCCCACTGCACCAAAGCCACACACCCTTATAGTTCCACTTCCCTATGAGATTATGGGGTGCTATTACATTCAAACTACCATGTCACCTCAGTGCTCTCTATTATCATCCATGTTCTGTGTCTGCTTCCAACTACATTCCAGAGAGAGGTTAATGCCTGTGGTGATATACTAGGTCCTGAGCTATATGAGGAACCATTTCACTTGTTCTTCTTTTGTCAAGGAAGCTCTGAAGAGACTCTTGCACCTTTTTCTTTCTTTCTTTCTTTCTTTCTTTCTTTCTTTCTTTCTTTCTTTCTTTCTTTCTTTTTCCTTTCTCTCCATTTTTTTATTTAACTTAGAAATGAGATTTTTTTACATGTCAATCCTGTTCCCTCTTTCTCCCCTTCTCTCATGCCCCCCCAACTAACACTCTACTTATTCTGTAGCCTTTTTACTCCCCAGGGGAGAGGGAGGCCTTCCATAGGGGGTCTTTTGAGTGTGTCTTATCCTTTGGGATATGGTCTATGCCCATCCGCGTATATCTAGGCTCAGGTAGTATCCCTCTATTTGGAATGGGCTCTCAAAGTCCATTCCTATGCTAGGGATAAGTACTGAGCTACTACAAGAGGCCCCATAGATTTCTGAGGTCTCCTCACCTACACCCACGTTCCTGGGGGTCTGGATCAGTCCCATGCTGGTTTCCCATCTATCAGTCTGGGAATCAATAGCCCCCTTTGTTCAGGTCAGCTGTTTCTGTGGGTTTCACCAGCCTGGTCTTAACCCCTTTGCTCATCAGTCCTCCTTCTCTGCAACTGGATTCCAATTCAGTTCAGTGTTTAGCTGTGGGTGTTTTCTTCCATTCCATCTGCTGCTGGGTGAAGGCTATAGGATGGCAAAGAAATCAATCATCAATTACAGTATTAGGGGCGGGCATTTAAGGTAGCCTCTCCTCTGTTGCTTAGATTGTTAGTTGGTGTCATCTTGTGGATCTACAGACATTTCCCTAGTACCTGATTTCTCTTTAAGCCTATAATGGCCCCCTCTATTATGGTATCTCTTATCTTGCTCTCCTCTATTCTTCCCCCAACTCAAACTTCCTGGTCCCTCATGTTCTCCTCACCCCTTCTCTTCTCCCCTTCTCATTCTCCTAGCTCTGTCTCCCCTCCCCTCATGCTCCCAATTTGCTCAGGAGATCTTGCTCCATTCTCGTTCTCCATGGGACGATGTATGTCCCTCTTAGAGTCCTCCTAGTTTCCTAGCTTCACTGGCTGTGTGGATTGTGGGCTGGTAATCCTTTGCTATATGTCTACAATCCATACATGAGTGAGTACATACCCTGTTTGTCTTTTTGTGACCTCTCTCAGAATGGTTTCTTCTAGTTCTATATATTTGCCGGCGAATTTTAACAATCCATAATTTTTTCCTGCTGAGTAGTAATCTATTGTGTAAATGTACCATATTTTCTGTATGCATTCTTCAGTTTATGGGAATCTATGTTGCTTCCATGTTGTGGTATTACAAATAATGCAACTATGAACATAGTTGGACAGATATGCTTGTTGTATGAATGTGCTTTTTTTGGGTACATGCCTAAGAGTGGAATTGCTGGATCTTGTGGTAGATTGATTCCTATTTTTCTAAGGAATGACCAAACTGATTTCCTAAGTGACTGTACAAGTTGGCATTCCCACCAGCAGTGGAGGAGTGTTCCCCTTTCTCCACATCATCTCCAGCACAAACTCTCATTGGGAGACTCTTGCACCCTTTTCACTATTAGTTGGAAATATACAGGCTGTTCTGAAAGTGTAAGCCTGTCTCCCACCTGCCTTGTTAAAAGTATCTTCCTGGTTTTGTGCCTTGGCTATGGCCATTATAGAAAATTGCCTTTAAATTCAGAACCTGCACATGTCCTTTTTGTTCTGTGTTAGTAGTTTTGATTAGCCCATACTTATCTAGGCCCATCAAATAAATATAAATACATATCACAACCTCCCCAAGTCCTGATGCGTGCTCTTTTTTTGCATAGAAAGTCATGTTGCCTTCCAAAAGGACACAAGAGAGCCTTGCTTCTCTGATCTACATTCTTGCTTATCAGCTACTACCGCCTGTGTGTGTACATCACTGTATCAATATGAATATTGGTAAATATGTGGTCTGTTCTCAGTGATTTCTCCCTAATTTACATGTGGTCAAGCTTTGTTCTTCAGCTTTCCAGATGCTACCCCTCAGTCTTCCACACTATAAAATCACTGAGTGCAGAGCCATGTAGCAGTATAAGGTGTAGACCAAATGCTTCCTTACCTTGTAGCAGCTGGGAACAGAGGAATTTAAACTAGTTTCTCCTTTCCACCTGTCCCATGGTTGCCTTCCACCAAGCACATGGAGGTAATATCCACATTGAAGATGTGGGACAGCTACTCAGTGAATCCTCTTTTGAAACAATTTAAAGATAATCATGGAAGTGTCTCTCAGCAATATTTTTGGAGCTCAATCCACTCAAAGTGACAATGAGTATATTAACCATCACAACCATAATCATTGTCATGATCCTCTGTTACCTGCTGTTTTTTCCATACTGCTTACCTCATCTGTTTGTTTTTTTAAAATCTGTTCTGTATTAGTCACATGAGCCCATGTAATATACACATTCTGTGAAAGGTTCAATGTATACATACTCACACCAAAATGAATGCATTTGATAGGTTATTTATTTCTGAGTTCCTGTCACAGTGGAACAGAACTCATTAACATACAATATGTAGTGTTGAATAATAGCAACTCTTGAAGGGTGGTCAGGTCACACAAAGCTTTTAGAGGCAGGAGAGATGCTGAGGTACAAGTTAGAGTTGTGATTTCGAAAAGTTCTGTAATGACATAGGGACTGAGAAGAGGCCATCATTCCAGTCTCTGGTTCTGGTCTCACATCTTTGGATGTTGGAGTCAGGGAAGGTTCCATAGGGATCATAGACTCTCAGTCTCAGCCCATAACTCAGGTCCCCTATGAGCGTTTTCTTCCCTCAAAATGGTGGATGAACCAAGTATCAGGGAAAACTGTGAGATAACAGTAAGAAAGATGACAACAGTCAGATCAGGCCAGCCAATGTCTAAAACAAGTGTGCTTAGGGCACACTTGTTGTTCTTCATCTCTGTAACCATTCATTCTTGGACTTTTCTGCAGAAGATCAAAAAATGGGGTTCACTAAAAGGTCTATACTAAACTACATTTGATTCAGTGAGTCATAGAAACATCTTAACATTGAATAACAGTGAACTTGTAAGCACACAATTCTATGTCCAAAGCAGAAATGGTTAAAATTATCTAAATCACTCAAAAGACTAGGAGTCCGGTATTATCTGATAGACAGTATGATGTTTCTTCAATCAGACCATGACTTAGCCTGTGTCCCCCAGAATCAGGAGATGCATAAAAGAAGGTCTTGAGTGATCTCTTTAGCTCCTTGCCCACTGCTTCCAGAGCTCTTCTCCAACTCAAAGTCATGAATGGGGAAATAAAAGTTTTTTAAAGGATGTTTTGAATTCCTTGTTTCTCAATGTATAGATCAGGGGGTTCAGAGAGGGGGTCACAGTGGTGTACAGAACAGCAATGGCCTTGTCCAGGAGCCCAGCAGTTCCTAGAGCTGGTCGGACATAAGTATAGAGCACAGTGGAATAATAAAGGGTGACCACAATCAGGTGAGCAGAGCAGGTGGAGAAGGCTCGCTTCTTGCCCTCAGCTGAACGGATGCGCAGGATGCTGGCGATGATGAAGCCGTAGGATGTCATGGTCAATAGGAAATTCAGGCCAGTTAGGAACATGTCTGCAATGACAGTCATGATGTCGTTGATAAAGGTGGGACTACAGGACAGCATGAGCACAGAAGGGATCTCACAGAAAAAGTGTGTGATGAGATTGGGACCACAGAAGGACAGCGGCAACACCAGACAAGTGAGCACCAAGGAATTGAGAGCCCCTGTGAACCACACAAAGGCTGCAAGGGCCACACAAGCCCTGCCATTCATGAGAGTTCCATAGTGCAATGGCCGGCAGATTGCAAGATAGCGGTCATAGGCCATGGCAGAGAAGAGCAGAAGCTCAGAGCCCAGGACCCAAGAGAAGATGAACATCTGTGTGAGACATCCCCCGTAAGATATGGTGTTCTCTGTCACCAGGCTCTGCAGGACCTTGGGCAGGACAGTCACAGTGCAGATCACATCCATCAAAGCAAGGTTAACTAGGAAAAAATACATGGGGGTGTGTAGGCTAGGACTTCTGTGGATGGTTGTGATAATCAGGCCATTGCCAACTATGGCCATGGTCAACAAGATAAAGAAGAAGCAGAAGAGGGCATCCTGGAGCCAGGGGTCATCCACGAAGTTTTGCAGGATGAACATGGTCACAACTGACTGGTTCTCAGAAGCCATGAGTAACACTGTCTGCGCTCAGGATGGGAGTTGTAGTTTGAGCCTCGGGAAAAAGAAGAAGTGAGCTTTATTCTGATTAACTAAAAATAATTTTAAATCTCAGTTAATCCTGTCTGTGTAGTAAGGAACCTGTTATGGTAAGAAAATTTAAATTGTATTCTCATTTAAAGGCTAAAGGGGATAGCAGCCCAAGGACACAACCCACATAGGCTGTGTCGGTGAACATGGGTGTATCCTGAATGCACAGTCCCTGAACATATGGTTCTATATGTGCTGCAATCAAACCACCAGGAGGGAGAGATGGCCCTGCTCATGAGAGCCACCCAGGACACAGTGACTGGAGACTGTGGTATGGATGCTGGGAAGACATAATTAGTCATCAGTGGGTCTGTGGAAGGATGTAGGGGCAGTGGTACTGGCTGCTTGTCTGAGAGTGAGGGAAATAACATACAGAACATTAATTGAATGACAGACTCTCTGGAGACAGAACCAATGCTGTCTTTGTGACAATGTGGCTTCTCATGCAGGCGACAACAATGCCCCCAGAATTTTCATTCTTGAAACTCTAGTCCACTAGGACCTTAATCTAGGGGATATCATTCAAGACTCATACTCAACCTGTGGAGAAAAGTGAGGTCTCTTGAGGATCCAAGGTTGTCTCTCAACACCTTGAGCCATAGGCACTCAGCTGGTCCCAGACACAGCTTCTGCAAAGCTGCTCAGAGAGCCATCTAAAGGCACCAAACAATGCCTGTCAGAGTCCACATGGCAAGTCACTGTCCAACATGCAAATGGAACACTCAGACCAGGAATGATGAGAAAGCAGGCCTCTGTTGAGAAGATAGGAGTTGTGGAGACCCAGATTGTGGGGCCTGCTGGACTATGTATATACTGCTCACTTGTCACTTCCTGCTACCAGACTCTACCAACAAGCGTATAGTGAAGGATACGTCCCTGAGTGTGAGTTATGAATCAGAATTTAAGGCCAGGCTGACAGGGACAGGTAACAGGACTTTCCATTGTGTCTGCTATGTGAAAGGCACCCAGTATGACAAGCTTCTCTCACCCAAGTATCAAATCTAACATGAAAATACATTTCAGGTTTCACAGTAAAGAATTTCATGTATTTTCAGAGAACAGTGTTCTAAAACAGAAAATGGTCCTGGACATTGATTTTCTGGTGCTCCCCACACACTATGTGCCACACCCTGCACTCTATCTTACAGTACTCCAGACGGCTTGGCAGGGAAGAGGGGTGTGGGTGGGTGACTATGCTGTGCCAGCTCTGGTCCCATTTTAAACCCAGCAATTTAATTATATTGTGATGGTTGCATAGCATGGGCTGGGAGACCAGGGAATCTCCTCCTGGGGTCAATCTTCATTCTTTGTTTTCACAGGACCTCAGACCAAGCTGCACACAACAAGTAGCCTTTCTGAATCATAAAGAGCTCCAGTAGTTATTGGGCAGTGGCTGTGGTGTGTACACGGTGTCCCTGAGAACTGTGAGTAATAGATCCAGCTGCCAGATTTAGCAGATGAAATACAGGAAGCTAAGATAAGCAAGAGCACACTTTCAAAAACGTGTCTCAAATCCTGCCCAGGAAATTCCAAATCTAAATGGTATTTGTTACTGATCTAAAATGCAATTTAATCTGGGCTTCCTCTACTTTTTTGGCCACTAATGTCCACTCAAGTCCATACGTCCCTTACCCTATGTGTATCTGAGGCCAACAGAAATTGAGGATGCCTTTGGTCAGCATTCACACATCTGAGAGATGAGCCACCATGTCAAACCATGTGAGACTCTGCTCCCTGTTCCCCACTTACCTCCAGTATTTGCCCTATAGTTGCAGGTACAGAGGGGGCAGGAGCAGCCTGCTGTCTGAGTTGTCTCGGCAGCCTGACTATATAAGAAAACAGTGAGGTTTGGGGTCATTCCTCCTCCTGGGGATAGTTAAATGTCATTTGCATGTTATCCCCACTGCAATGATGGTGAAATGTCCATGGTTCACAGGTGCCCCAGAGAGGCTGAGTTGATGCAGGAACTCCTGCTGGATTGTACCCCAAACACCCCCAATCATCCTCAGTCACCTCTCTCTGTTTGAGGGAATGAGACATACTTACTCCAAAATTGCAACTGGTCTGTTTCTACCATGTTTTAGTTTAATTGTGATCAAGAAACATGGGAAGAAAATATCTCTGTTTCCAAAAGTCTGGAAGAGTCATACAAGTGTGACACCTACCTGTAGGTCCACAGGCATGGGGCTGGGTATCCAACAAAGTATGTGAAAAGGAACCTGGAGGGATGGAGAGAGAGAGAGAGAGAGAGAGAGAGAGAGAGAGAGAGAGAGAGAGAGAGAGAGAGAGAGAGAGAGAGAGAGAGACAGAGACAGAGAGACAGACAGACAGAGAGAGCGAGAGAGAGAGAGAGACAGACAGAGAGAGAGAGAGAGAGAGAGAGAGAGAGATTTTACTACCAATTCTCCAGCCCTTTATCTCACTTTACTTCTCTGTGATAGCTCCTGGACCTGTTGATTTTCCTCTGTGGATATTAGAAAATCCATAGGAACACATTTATGTACACCTGTCATTGAAGACCCTGTGGCTCTAACCACCTCCCCCAACTCTATAAATGCATCTCCTTATGGAACAACTGACCAGAAAGAAAGGACAGAGCTAACTGAAGCAGCAATACACCTTAGGGGGGTTGAAATGAAGGATATTTTCCAGATGAGTCCCCAAGACTTTGACATAGGGTGGGTGTCTCCTGCCCAGAGAGATGCTTCTGGACCCTATAGAAGAGAGTCAGCTAGGTCATGTCCTCACCACACCATTTGGGCTTCACACGCCTTTGTCCGCAGGAGTACAGAGGTGTCTGTTAGCTTCAGGTAATCCTGGCTTAAATCTAGATAGCTTTGGCTGTGTGATGCAACCCAAGGCAGCCATGGCCCCAAGAGAGGCCTGCTCCAGGGCCCTAGCTGAGCTGGCCTTGCAACCATCTGTCAAGTCTAGAGTGGAAATTGGAGGTGGAGAGGAGCTTGGCCCCAAGGGAGGATGGAAAAGGCACAGGCTCTGCTTGCTGTGACAGGAACTAAGATGCTTTCCCAGCTGGAGCTCTTCTCTTCATATCCAATCTCAGTTAAAGACACATCAGAAAAGGGCTCAGGGTCAGATGTTCACGGGCTTAAGTTCACCAGGAAAAGTTCTCAGATTTCTCCAATTATGGGTCAACATTGCTTGCATTAGAGTCTTTAATGACCAAGTTCATGTGGGAAAGGGACAGCCTGCTCATTGTATCCTGACCTTGGCAGACAGAGGTTGAGTCTCAATGTGAGCCAGAGCAGACAGGAGTCCAAGATACCAGGGTGTTCTGTTGCATGCCTCAGCCCCCCACTAACACTAAGGGCTCCTTGATGCATGGGTTGTAAGGTAGGGGAGTAAACCCCTTCTCCATAGGTACAAGAACAGAGACTCCAGACATTTTATATGAGTATTTATCTACCTGCTTTACTTGGTAACAAAAACAGAAGAGCCTTTAAAGGCTCAAACATTCAGTGAAGGAGGGGGCTACAGGAGGAGAGAGCCTATGATTTTTCTTAGGGAACTGGTCAGGGTGTCAGGGTTCTCTGTGACGACTTGGTAGACTCTCTTGGCAGTTTGAATGTTGATTGACCCTACATGTGGTTATTCTAGTTCACTGAGCACTTCCTAGGTCACATCTTAACACTGTAGTCTGCCTCCTAGAATTCCAGGACCTGATGCAGCATGAAATTCAAAGGCAACTTGGCTTTTTTCAATATGTTCCAATTTATGCAAAAAGAAAACAAACAAAAAACATACATGCACATCAGAAAACATAAATCTACCACACAAAAGCATACAACCTAAAAAGACAGACCATCCATGCAGTCAGAGGAGAGCAGACAAACACAGGCATGCAGTGGCCACCTTCACTCCTATGCCAAAAATCAAGAGGATAGGAGGTTGTCTCTGTTCTATGCTGCAGACTTGATCTACAGTCATGTCTCATCTCTCTCATCTTTCCCAAATGTCCAGACTTCCAGAACAACTCACCGATTTGTCCTGTTTCAAGTGCACATTTGTCAGAAATGTCTACTTTCATTTTGTTCTCAATTTGCCTATGGAGTTACAAGCCAAAGAGAAGTTCAGTGCGGCCAAGATTAAGTGGTTGATGCAACCATAAAAAATTGTCCTTGATTAGCTTCATTATCAGGTTACAGAAGCCTAAATTCAGTAGTCCGTTGGCACAGACCACCCCAGCCGGGTAAGGGGGTCCCTGGGATGAGGGTCCTGGAAGAATAGGTGGGTAAGGATCCAGTGGTGACAAACAGAAACAAACACAGAGGCAGTTTGAATCTGAGTGTGCTTTGCAGTTCTCAAACAAGGATTTTTATAGAGATATTTTCTCAGGGGATGTTTTTGTTAAACAAACCCAAAATATGACATTATTGTTACTAGACACAGGAATGCAGAAATCCAAAACACAGAATCATCCAGGGTTAATCAAAATATAAAATTGTCCTTCATTAGTCAAAACATAGGCCTGTCCTTGACTAATATGGGATCATCTGAGGCTAACCACAGCAACTCTTATAAAGGTAAAACATTTCATTGGGTGGCTTATATTTTCAGAGGTTTAGCTCATTACCATCATGGTGGGACATTGTAGCATGCAGGCAGACATGGTGCTGACTGCTCTTGACTAACAGGGGATCATCTAAGGCTAACCACATATTTCTTGAATCAAATTAGTATATTTTTATGGTCAGTTATTGTTTAATATCTATTACCTAGTTCTTGCGAGTTTTTGAAGTATTGAGCTATTTTAACTATTTTAACTCTTTCTTATTACAAGAGTTAAGCCCACTTTCGATAACACATGTACAACCATATGAAATTTTATTGTTGGCAAAGTTTTTGCTATTTGCACTTATGTGAATGTTATGAATGATTTAGAAAGCACTGTTGTTTTTTTTTCCTGAGATGAGAACATGGCTAGTACCCCTTCTCAGAGGATGGATTCTTATCTATTTCTTTTTTTTATAATGTCAGCATTGACTTTTAGGAACATTTGGTTAATGTAAAAAAAAGGAATAGAAGAACAAACAGAAATTGCTATGAGAATCACATCCCAATAGTTTTCTCCAGCTGAGATGAGAGTTCCACAATGGTTTCCAGGAGACCACCTTCTTTTGAAGTTATCTCCTCAGTCTGTGGAACTTGTCACACAGAATCTACTGGATTTGGTGTGCCAGTCAGTGGTATGATAACCAGCAGATGGTTACAGCTGTAAATTTATGGCTGGGGTCAAGGAGTCAGGGTTTGTAAGAACTTATCTTTCAGAAACTTGACTCAGAGACAAATCACTATCAGATACCAAGATATCAGATACCTAGCAAGAAACACAGGCTCTTTAGCCATCACACCATCATGATAAGGATCTGCAAATAATGTATTTAAGAGATATGTGCATGTATATGTGTCTGTGACCCTCTTTACACTTATGCTTGGCTGACTGTCAGTTGTTCTGTTGCTTACATAGCAGTCCCAAGACTAACAACAGGAAAAACAGTTGTAAAAAAACATGTGACAGAGAAACCAACAGATCAAACAGACCAAGGCCAGGGTGTACAGATGTTACTCTATTGTCACCATAGCTGAATTAAAAATAACCTAGGAAATCACTGAGGGACACTTCTGTCCATGCATCTGAGACCATTTCCACTCTGTGTGGGTAACTCTAGGGACTGGGGACTAGAAAGCCCAGATTAAAGGAGAAAGCCAGTTGAGCACAGGTGTTCCTCTAATATGTGTTCTGGGCCACCACAGAGGAAAGACACTTCCTCTCCCCCACATCCTCCAGGGCCATAAAGCCCTGTCTCACAACAGACCAATGCAGAGCACCAAGTGCCATTGACTGAATCCTCTGAAACCATGACACCCAATAAATGTTTTGAAAAGGGATTTTGTCACAAGGATGAAGATCTGATTAACACAACTCACCTGATTTGCATCACAAGCCCTGGTGTAGTCCAGCACCTAAAAAGAATAAGGAAGTTGATGAAGACTGTGTTTAGTCAGAAAAGGACCCAGCATCATTTCTGCAGCAGTGGCTGCAGATGCCACCCTTTCTCCACTGAGTTGTCTTCCTACCATTGTCTCAGCGGTGGCTGCAGATGCACTTCCTGTCCCCATTCTTTCCTCAGCCTCCTCAGAGTGTTTGAAGGATTTTAGCCAGGAGTGTTTGGTCAACACAAAGCAGACTCCATTTTTAATGCATGCCTTTTGACTATCAGGAGAAGTCTTAGACTAGGGTTCTCTGAGAATTCTTCCAACACAAACTCCGTCACCATTGTCTGGTTGGGATTTAATATCATAATGGAGTGTATTTGTTTCATAAATGTGTCTTTTGGCTTCTGAGAAAATATCAGTTTACTACTTCAAAGTCTGGTTTCCAAACTTGAACAACTCAAAATTCTCAGCTGCTAGAAAGGGAAAGAGTGAATGTATTTCCTTCATGGAAGCCTCTTGTCCCTTATTGTATGTGCCACACCCCTTGAAACAACATGTATTTTATTTACTTTTTATTTCCCACCTAGAAACTTACTCCATGTAGATTTAGACCAAGAAATATATCTGCTCCTCCCTCATCTTGAGCATGTGGGTTGAGTGGAGCATCCCTCACTCAGGACCTGCCTCTATCAGCTGAAAGCACTGTGTTTTCCTGATAGTGCTGGAAACACAGCTATATGACTCCCTCTACAGGTATTTTCAATTTGATGACACAT